CATGTGTTAACATACCGCGACGCATGACACAGAGCCAACGCCAATGCCTCTGTACCACATGCCATGACACATGCAGCACATGCCACAGCATATGACTTATATTTTGCCCAAATGGTGTTGCTTGTAATTAGTTTCCTTTAAAGTTTTCATGCACAAAATTTGAGTGTTTTCATTGTGTATTATTTTACAATTTGAGTATTTTAGAAATGATTTTTTTTTTATGTTGTAATTGGGATCCCAACCTTTCTTAAGACATTTTTATTTGTTAGATTGTGTATTTGAGTTTGAATGATAATGTCGATAAGAGCATTACATAAACTACTCAAAAGATTGAGATGATAAGACATAAGCTCTTGATGGCTTAGAGTTAACAAAAGAGCTATGCGAATAGGTGTCAAAGGCTATTGGAATTCTTGGTGGGCAACCTTGTGTTTTTGAAAGCCATGCCGATGACTGGCATTTGAAGATCAATAAAGTTAAAAAATTGATTCCTAAGTTTACTGAACCCTTTAAGATTTTAAAGAAATTAGGACTTATTATTTATCGGACCGCATTGCTACCTCATTTGTCGAGAATTAATAATGTTTTTCACATATCTCAAATCAAAAAGTATCAGCTAGATTGAGGGTTTGCGTCAAAAGGCTCAAAGGATTGGTGGCACTAGTAGAATTATTGATTTTGTCTCTCATGTGGTAACTTGGTAGGTTGGTTTCACAATTAAGTTTTACTAGTGTTTTGGGCAAAAATTCCATTTTTGATATACTGATATAAGGAATGGGGCTAAATACATAAATATTTGCTTGAGGACAAGCAAATGTTTAAATGTGAGAGAATTTAATAAGTGTATATTTTATGGTTAAATAGGTATTGATTTTGATTTATATTTGATTAAATTTATGAAGATTTCATATCTAGTTGACTAATATTTATATATTTTCCTCTCATCATTTAATTATAGGATAAAGAAGATTTTTTTTAATAAATTCTACTTATATCATTCTTTCTTTATATTGTGCGGGTAAAATATAAAAAAATAAAGAGAGGGAGGGAAAAAAAGAAGAAATGAGATTATATATATATATATATATATATGCACACGCAAGCATGTATCAGGAGGACGCAAGGGGAAATCAAAATGACGTATTTGTGTGTGTGATATCTATATTTAAATTGTGGTAGAGGATTCATGGACAGATTGATGAAATTAAATTAGAGGTAGATCAAAACATACCTCGTGATTTCATTTGGCCACGAATTATCTGGGCAAAAATATGGATGCAGTGCACTTTTTAAGCTGAAATAAAAAAAAAAGGAAGAAAATATTTTTTATAAGAAGCTTAAGGGATTAGATAACTATCACGATGGAGATCGAGGAGAAGCACCGAAAAGTCTATAAAAAGGGCCCACGATTCGGTGGAACGTATACAAGCTCATATATGAAGATTAAGAGACATACTGCAAAGTTCAAAAAATCTTGAGTTAAGAGCTTTTTCTCTTATCTTTTTTTTTTTTTTATATTTTGTTTATGTTTTTTATGTGAGATTATAGTTTAAATTTTATGAGTCCCTGTTAAATTTCCAATCAAGATGGAGAGTAGTTTAGTTGGGATAAATTTTATTTTTTATTTGGTTTTAATTATTTCTCCTGTTTAATAATAATATTTGTTCATAAAATTTATATTTTCTTTTATATTTATTTCTCTCATTTTAATTATTCTTTATATAGATAGCTGACTGTAGGTAGTTTGATAAATTGAAAGAGGAAAAACTTACCTACACCTAGAGAGATAGGCTTAGATAATTAAATTATGAATAATTTAGGAATCTATAATGGCTGAGATTGTAATTTCATGGTTTAGTTAGAGAATACAATTTAGTGAGAGCTAGATTTAGCTCTAATTAAATACATCCTAATATATTAAAAAATAATTTGGACACCTAAAAACAGTTGTCACTATAAAAAAATAATTAATTAAATTAAGATAATTCATCTTTGTAGGTAAATTGTGGTGCTTGATTCTTGTTTGATTAATTGGTTCATCATTCTCATCGTTTTTATTAATTTTCTCATTTATTTCCTTTATAAAATTATTAAATATTTTCTAAAAAAATCCTCATTTGTTTGTTAAATAATAAAGATCACAATATTCGTCCGTGTCTGACTTGAAATTTTCCAAATTTATTATTATGTCAATCTTGTGCATTTATGAGGCCGGGCACATCATCACAACTCATACCCTGTGTTTTTATTAATACATATTCTTTTTTTTAGGTGAACTTTATTAATATATATTCTATCCTCAATCCAAACATTATTTTTAAACTTTGGTATAGATACACACATAATTATCATTAATTATACTTCCTTAAATATTCTTTCAAATAATGATTTTTATCATGGTGACTCACGTAATTATGGATAATCAATATATTTGTCAATATATTATTTTTAGTAAATCGCATAAATAATGTTCATTTTTAAGTTTCATACAATACATAAAAAGTATTTAATGATTAAAGTTAAATTCCAAATGTGACTATTTTTCTGAAATATTTAGCATTGAAACAGATTTGGTAAATAAAATGGATAACCTAGTTATAAATGCTGAATGAAAGAATAACTTTTTAATTTGCAATTAGTGATCGTTTTTCATTAAGTTAGGTTTAACCCTCAAGGGTTTCGAAATTAAAAAACAAAATTCACAGATATTAAAAAAGGGAATAGCTAATTTTAGTTTTATATATAGTACTAGGATAATTTATTAATAATGAAGTATAAAGTGGTCGACTCACAAATTCAATTATTAGTAGTGGTATGCCTGTTGCCAAATCAAAATAAGAAACGAGTTGCTTGGTACCAGGGCAAAAAAAAACAAAAAGTAACTATTGCTACCAAAGGAAAAAGTAATTATTAATTAACTAGCAACAAGTAACGACGATTCCAGTGCTGTACTTTTTTTTTTTTGGAGAATGGCAAATAAGGAAACTTGCAAAATATTGAGGACTTTTTATAAATAAAATATGAAGAATTTATAACTGAAACATTAGAATTTATAATTTTTCCAACCTTTCCGCTGGAGCTAGGTCTAGGATAGAATTGTATAAAAATCTTTCAATCGATTTAATTTGACCTGAAAAAATTCAATTCTATTAAAGATTGATTCTTTAAGATTAAAAAGATTAAATTGTTTCTTTAAGTTGGACTTGCAAAAGACTGTGTATCTAGATCATTTGATCCAGTCTAATCCTATTAAATTTATTTAATATGATTATAATTAATTTACTAATTATTTATTATAATAATTTACTAAGTTTGGTTCTTGGTACGATCACAAGCTCAGATTAATAATTTAATAAGTTGGACTACTTGAATTGTAATTGAAGTATTTTTTTCTTATTGTTGAAAATTATTATAGATTTATTATGATTATAAGTATTTTTATTATCTTAATTGAATTTATTAGATTAAAATGGATTATGACCTCTCATAAAAAAAATTTAAGTGAATATTAAACTAATAAAATTAGTCTCTCAATTTTATAAATTCAGTATGATTTTATTAATTTTTAAATTATCATTGAATCAAATCAAATTATAAATTATTTAATTCAGTTGTTTTTAATAAAAGAGCTTAAACTTTGAGCTAGGCCTTCATTCAAATAACTGTGTCTGTACTTATGTAGCATTAATAATTGTACTATGCTTTTAGGAAATTTCATGGACTGGATTTATTTGAGGCGGGGAAACCAGTTTGATGTCATTGGGAATGCACGATTGGACCGACCGAAAGCGACATGGATATTGATATGAGAAAATGGCAAATGATGGATGGGCCACTTTGGATTGGAAAAATTAACAATTAAAAAAATTAATTATTCCTGTAAGACCTCTCAATAAAATTATTATTTATTTTTAAATTAATTTTATTTTTTTATATTTACTTTTATTTAATAAGATATTTCATCCTAAATAAATATAAAATAATTTATTGAATAAGGGTCAATAATTATATTTTAAAAGATTAAAAATATTTTATATTTTTAATATACAACCCCTAAAAAATGCCTTATATTTTTGAATTGAGGGAATACATTGCTGGATTAAATAATTATAAGATTACTCTACAAGATTAAAGGATTTAAATATAATTAAAATTTATAATGAAAAATAAAAATACTCCGAATAAATATTTATTGTGATGTGGGAATCGATTAATATTAAAATAAAAATGAGAATTGTTTTTTCTTGAATAAAGACTTTTTTACCATATTACAACAATTTCTTTGTACCAAGCTAACATTTTATAATTGTTTGATAAAGGAATTCATTGTTGTTATAATGAAAAAGAGAGTTGTTTTTTCTTTAATGTGTTCTTATTTACCAAATAACAACACATATTTTTTTCCATCACAAAGTTTATTTTTGAAAGTTATTAATAAGAAAGTTGATTGTGGTTAAAATGACAATGGGACTTTTTTTTTTAATGAGGAGTTATTGTTAAAAAAGTATGTTTGTGTATATGAGAGATAATTATAAATTTTAATTTAATTTAGATCTTATTTTAGTCCTATAGAATCATTTGAGACACAATCAATTGTCTCCTATGATTCTTTACTGTGATTTTCCCTTTTAGATTCTCAAATATAGTTTGAGTGAGACTTACGTTACACCCATATCCAGTAACATTAGAAGGAGCCCAAGCACAGTCACATTTGGAACCTTCGTAATCACAATCTCTTCCTCCTTATTCTGTTTTGGCTTTTGGTAAAGTGAGGTTTACGTCTATCATATTACATGTAATGTTTGTATACTGATTGCTTTTTGTTGAAGCAAATTGTTTAACAGCTGACAATTATTGTATGTGTGTGATAAATTTAAAGAGTTGTCGTAATCCATGAACGTACGACATATGCCGTTGGGAAATGCCCATTAATGTTTTGAGAGTTCATAATCTTCTCCTGTCCTCTTCTCCTTCTTCCTCCATCAACTCAGCCACAACAGAACAAAAATTCCCAAGAAGTTCACTACATCATATATGGACATCCATTGTTACTTCTCCACACGTATTCACACCATTTGCTTCTCACCCACCATAACTGTTTCTAATGGCTACCTCCTTCAAACCTTTACCCAGAAAAGTTTCAATCTTCCTCAACATATCATTCCTCTTGACCCTTTCTCTGTTTCTGAAATCCTATCTCTACCCTTCCTATTTTAACCTTCATCATGCATCATACAATGCTCCGGCCTCTTCTTCCATCTTCAATCGCCAAGCTCGGATCCTCCAAGACATCACACCTGATGCTTGCACAGGTCTTCATGAGCTCTCAGACTATAGCTCAAAGTGCTTGTACGTCAAAACCCATTCTGAGTGTAGGTCAAAAGGCTACATAAACTATCTTCATATCTTTTACTGCAACCTTGGTCAGTCACCATTTATGGGCTATTTTTTGCTTATATTATGGCTTGTGGTGTTGTTCTACCTCTTGGGTGACACTGCTTCTAATTACTTCTGCTACTCATTGGAGAGTTTGACCAGCATCTTGAAGTTGTCTCCCACCATAGCAGGAGTCACTTTGCTTTCTTTGGGAAATGGAGCTCCTGATTTTTTTGCCAGTGTTGTTTCCTTCACAAGATCTAGCAATGGTGCAGTTGGGCTTAACAGCATTCTTGGAGGGGCTTTTTTTGTCTCCAGTGCTGTCTTGGGGATTATAAGCATTTTGGTTAGCACAAAGCAGATTGCAGTTGACAAAGCCAGTTTCGTCAGAGATGTTCTGTTCTTCCTTTTCTCTTTGCTTGTCCTCCTTGTCATCATTTCCATTGGTAAAATTACTTTGTTGGGTTCAATCTGCTTTGTCTCCATCTACTTCCTCTATGTCTGTGCAGTCTCTGCCACACATTTTATCTATGGAGGGGAGAAGAAAGAGAGCGAATGTTTTGCTGTATCTGCAGATGATCTTGCAGAGTCTGGCATACCATTGCTGGGCTGTGTTGATGATGAGAAACCATATTTAGCAGAGAAAGCAGCTCCTGAAGATAACACAGAAAAGCCAGAGTGTTTTGACAGAACCTCTTTCAACTGTGATTATTATCTGGGCAAGTTCTTACAAGTGCTAGAATTACCCCTCAGCTTACCAAGAAAACTTACCATACCAGTAGTACATGAGGAGAGATGGTCAAAGCCATATGCAGTTATATCTGTCACATTAGCACCAGTTCTTATAGCTGTTATCTGTAACACCCAGAAGGAAAATGAGGATTCTAGGACAAGTTTGGTGACATACCTAATAGCTGCCCTGATTGGGGTGTTTTTAGGAAACATGGCTTGTGTAACCACTAACAACACTAGCCCACCAACAACTTGCCTATTTCCTTGGCTTGCAGGAGGATTTGCCATGAGTGTGACATGGACATACGTTATTGCTGAGGAGTTAGTTTCCCTATTGGTTTCAATTGGGAATATCATTGGGGTTAGTCCTTCAATTCTTGGGTTAACAGTCCTAGCTTGGGGCAACTCTCTTGGGGATTTGATAGCCAATGGTGCTTTGGCGGTCAATGGTGGGGCAGATGGGGCCCAGATAGCTATATCTGGGTGTTATGCAGGACCCATGTTTAACACTTTATTGGGTTTGGGCTTTCCTCTGGTTCTCTCAGCTTGGTCTGAATATCCAGACCCGTATGTTATTCCAAAGGACCGTTCTCTGTATGAGACTCTCATGTTCTTGATGGGAGGACTGTTGTGGGCCCTCGTGGTGTTGCCAAAGAGAAGCATGAAGCTGGATAAGTGCTTGGGATCTGGACTCTTGATCATATACCTCTGCTTTCTTTTCATAAGGATAGCAATGGCTATTGGTATTGTGAAATTCTAGTGATGCCCCTTCTTCAAAGAGAAAACACTTCACATCCTGAGGGTATCCATGTGTGTTTCACAATCAATAGGGGTACACTTGTAAATTTGATCCCCTTTTTTTCCACTTCGTTATTAGCACTAGTTACTTGATGGGGCACTAGGCTTGGAAATGCCATAAGTAGTATCACGTACACTCACAAGTATAATAATGTATTCAACCAGTCGACTCTAGCAGAACAGAACAAACCATGCATACAAGAAAACATGTTCATTTTTATGTGAAAATCAGCCTCTAATGTTTAACTAGATTTAGAAAATTATTTAGTATAAAATCAAATATTAGAGCCAGGTCATCACATTATTAACCAAGTAATTTTCCCTGCTAGACTTTTCCTTTTCCTTTTCTATATTTTGTGTCAGAAAGTAACCTTTTCCTTAATCGACATGACAACATGATGAATATTAGAATAAAGATAATAACAAAACCAATTCTACATATTGTTGAGTTTATATTTTCGAAGGGTGTAATGATTCCCACATTTATAATTTATATCATTGAGTTTTATGAAAAATAATGATTTAGTTTATTTTTGCGTTGATTTTTTCAATCAATTCAATTCCATTCTTTTCATTCTTTTCAAGTAACCAAATAGGACCTTAAATATTTATTATTACAATAATAATCAACCAAAACATAAAAATATATAGTGCATATATACTAAAATAATCGCACTTGTTTTTAGACATTCTGTGGCCACTTTGGCCACTTCTTTAGTTTAATATGTCATCCTTTTGTCCCTTCTGTTTTAGATATTCTTCTGGTCAAGTTTTATCTTACAAATTAAATTGCACTTGAAGAAAACTTTGCCCATCTGATTACATATCTTCATTTGGGATTGGGGGCATGAAATTTTTTTTTTTTGTTCTATTCATCAATTCTATGAAAGTTGTTCATTGTTGATATGTATGAAATGAACTTAAAACTTTTTTGCAATATCTATTCATACATACATATAGACTTATTTCATTCTCGTTAGCTTCTTACTTTAGATTTTGCTTGATCGAGAAAATTAATTCCTTACTAGCTATTTGGACAAGATGTTGCCTAATAGTATATGTTTGTAAGCATTGTTCTTGAAGCAATACAAGTCTTGAGAAGCTCCACCGTGAAGGGGGGGGGCATTTGAGTTTTTGTTAGAATAGTTTCTTCTATTTTTATTATAGTATTGGTTGTGCGGCATTAAGGATTAAAGTCTGGGGATGGGATTATGCCCGGATTTTTCTTTGATTACTTTAAATCCTTCAGATTTGCCATTCTATTGGACCCACTATTCCTATTAAGGTGATGTGGTGGCAAATAATATGGAAGTGAATTGTTATTACCAAGGGATGTACATGTTTACCCCATGTTTCTCACCACCATCTTTCTAAGTAACTTCTATTCGCATTTCTTTCTTTGATTACATTTTTATAGCTAGATGCATATTGGTTTTTTGTTTTTTTTTTCGAGTCAGTGTTGCCCCTTGAAATTCTTTTTTAAGTAATATATCTCATCCCAATTTCATTCAAAAAAAAAAAAATAGTAATTACTATGACCATGGAAAGCAATAGTTAGATTGAAAAGAATGATCTCATAAATGCTTTCTGAATATACTTAACTACAAAGCATTTTTGCTTAGATGATATTGCTTGCTTGTAGCATTTATTCGATAAATGCATCATAATAAACTATATGTTGTTTTTTTTTTCTAAAATTAAGACAATAACATTATACTATAGCAGTCTCAAGATTTTAAATCAAGACAATATAACATGCTAAAGTCAACTACCGCTAATGTTGTGTGCAAGTAAATAATTCAAGACTTGGAATATAGTTTCTTATGATTTGTTAATTTTTTACATTTGTAAATTTTGCAGTAGGGAAGATGAACTTGGTTTAGCATATTGAACACTGTGAACAGCTTTATCAACATAAATTTGTTATTAGTGAATTTTATGCAATTTGTCTCTATGCAAGTTAGTTATCCCAAATTAATAGACTTCTGTACCTATTTATTTTTGTTGTGATATTTTTTATTCATATGAGCATTTTTTCATCATTGAGAAAATTGAATAACTTGGTGTCAGTTTTTTAATATAATTTATTTAGTGATAATTTTTTTAACTTTCCTTTCTTTTCATATTTAAAGTTCATTTTTTTTAGTTCCTTCATATTTATAGCATTGTAAACGCAATAATATGATTAGATGCTTACAATGATCATATTTTTTAACATTTATTTGAAAAATTCTTTTAATTAGGTACAATTTAAGTGTATATTTTTTGGACATTACAGGGGAGCGAGTTTTTAGGGCAAAAAAAGAATATTTTTTTCTTAAATGTTTTTTATAAGTTACTTCATTAAATTTTTATTAAATTTTTTTCTTTTTGCCTAGCTTTCATTGAATGTTAGAAGGAGATAATATATTATTAAAATATGTATATTTAATGAGAGTAAAATAAAAAATTTATTAAATTTTTGGGTAGAGTTAATATGTTTTAATATTTTTCTTGATTTTAGTAAAATATGTTGGACATAATTTATAAATAAGATTAAAGGAGTATTTTTCTAAGTAAATTTTTTTATTAAGACCAGTAAGTTAGTAATTATTTACACACATATATATAATGATATTAAATGCTTCCTATGCAATGCACGGGGGAGTTAGTTCTAGTTAGAATAAAGATAATAACAAAACCAATTCTACACATTATTGAGTTTATATTTTTGGAGGGTGTAATAATTCACACATTTATATTTATATTATTGAGTTTTATCATGCTTATCATGAAAAAAATAATGATTTAGTTTATTTTTGTGTTGATTTTTTCAATCAATTTAATTCCATTCTTTTCAAGTAACCAAATGGGACCTTAGATTTTTTTCATCACAGAAGAGTATAATAATCAACCAAAACATAAAAATATATAGTGGATATATACTAAAATAATCACGTGTTTTTTGGCCAGAAAAAAATAACCGCACGTGTTTACCAGGATTTAATTTACTTGCTAAAATAATTATTAGTCGATACATAAGAATTATGTGTTAATGAAGTCTTCTTTTTGAGAGCAAGGTTTTAATTGATGCTACTATAAAATACGCGTTAAATTATTACTCTGGATTAATCTTGGTCTATATATAAGACTCAAGTTAATTAGATTCATGAGTTGAATTAATTGCTGTCTTTAATTTTATATGTAGACTAGTATCTATATACCAGTCCACCAAACTGCTAAGAGACAAAAAAGTAGGTTTTTTTTTTTATTGAAACCAGGCAAAGCCCAAACCTTTATTTAACTAATAATAGTTTCGGAGACAATATGACTCCAATTATCTCGATACAATCAATCAATGTGTTTAGTAAGGATCCTACAATCATTACAATGATTCAAACCAAATTTCACAATCTAGTTAGAATGGATATTGCTTTCATGTAACACATGTCGCACCATAATTTGCCAATCCTCATTGATGAATTTGATAGCATGGCACACCTTACTAGTATAAAATATGAAATTTATACCCCATATCTACATTGGTTATAGTGCCTATGGTGTAGAAATCAGAGGCAGTGGCAATTTTATAGATAAAATTTTTTTGACTAATATCTACACCGGTTCTAGTCCTAAATCGGTGTAGATATGTCTATATTTTTTAAAAAAAATATCCCTTTTGTCACATCTACATCAACTATACTTCGTATCTGGTGTAGATTATTATAGTTTTGTTTTTTTATTGTTATTAATTTATCCACACTGGTTGCATTTATACCCGGTGTAGATACATAATTTTTTTGTTAAATAAAATTTTGCCATGTCTACATCGTTTGCCACTGCAATTGGTGTAGATGCGTTTATATCTAGAATTAATTCTATACCCTTATCTACATTAGGTTTACCTTTTAACCGGTGTAGATAGTAATTTATTATATTTTTTCTTTTTTAATTAACTTATCTACACTGGTTTCATATATACCTTGTGTATATGTTTTTTTTTTTGGGTTAAATAAAATTATACCATATCTATGCCAATTGCTACACATAATCAGTATAGATGTCTTTATTTTAAAATAAAAATTTTCGTACCCATATCTAAACTGGGTTTCCCTTTTAACAGGTGTAGATACGGTATTATTCTAACTCCTCTTCACTTCACTTTTATTTTTCAAAATATGTATCACTCGCACTAACAGTTCATCTTCTAACCCTTCTCGTTCATTTTTTGTTTCCAAATCTCCATTACTCTAATCTTCCTCCCACCTATTTCATTCCTTCGCCCTTCTTCCTTCATCCTTCGCTATCATTGCGGCAACATCAATGGCCGTGGGTTTATTGCAATTGGTTGAGATCATCCCCTATGCTAAAATGTTTGAAACCCCTTTTCCTTCTTTATTGAAATCTCTTGCAATTGTTCGAGATTTGCTTTCATTCTTCTGCTATTGAAACACTGTTGCTGAGACGTCCTTTGCCACTGGTGACTGGTTTAGTGTACGTGGATAAAGCTTTACCCTTCCCTGTTCGTCATTTGATTGTGAAATCCTCCCTCCTTTTCATGTTGTTGGAGTTTTTAGGTCAGCAGCTTTGATCCTTTCTTTATTGTTGTGGATTGATATTAATTATTTATTAGGTGCTTGCATTATGTCTAAAATCTTGCTTGTATTGAGTCTGAAATCTTTCCCTTCTTTTCTCTGCTAATCCGTGTATAATGATAAATTATGCTGCCAATTAATTTAACCTCCTCTTCTTCATTTTCCTCCTCCAACTACAACATTAAAAGCATACAATTTTCAGAATAAAATCCTTAAAGCTATGGAAGAAGTAGAAATTAACATATATTCAACTTAATATACTCACTTCCTTCTCGTTGAGACCTTTAGTAGAACACACAGCTTGCCCTTCTTCTGTTCCTTTTTCTTGATGCTTTTTAGACCTTCTTCTGCCATGTTCTGAAGCATAAACAGAATGAAAATCTAACACAATTGTTATACTCAATAAAGCAAGTGGAATTCTCTTTAGTTAATTAAGAAGTGAAATGAATCAAAAGTAGCAAAAGGTGCTTGATTGAGAAGCTGACGATTTTGAGCCTCTAATGATATTGTCTCCAGCTTTTTTTGAGTTTCCAATTTGTTGATTGTAACAACCCTAAAAATACAACTTATTTTTCCAAAACAAATTAACAAAAATGTATTCATAGTTTCCAATATGTCTGTGCATTCCATGGAACTGATGCATAGAAGTGTCTAATCCCATAATTTCCTAAA